AGCTATCAAAAATTAGCAGCTTTCCATAGGGGAGAAGAGTGCCACGTATCAGTGAGCGGATCAGATACATGAATGAGCGATCGGCCTCTTGGCTCCTGTGTGCCTGGATCTTTATCAGAACAGAGGGCTTATCAATCTTTATCAGTCCAGGATTTAAAGTCAAAACCATCAGTACTGTTTTCTTGATAAGCAAAATATAAGCTGCTTTGCTTACTCTCTGGTCCAAGTTCAGCAGAGGTGCTTGAGATGGGCTTGCAGAAGACTGGCAGATCTGCTCCATTTTGGTAACAGCATTTTTGGCTGCCAAAACTGCAGCAGGTACACCCAACCTTGAGGCCTGTTCCTGCAGAACAGAGACTTAAAGAAAAAGAAAAGAAAAGAAACAGAAACTTGACATCGTGGGAGGAAAAAAAAAAAGGTGCAAGCACATGACTGTGAAGAGAAATTCCAGATCAAAACACAGAAAAATCAGATCTTGCCAGGGACGCCATTCATTGGAGAAGTAAGAAACGAGTAGCTGAATGGCAGACCAGGAACACTGGGAAGAATACAAAATTGGAATTGCATTTAACAGTCAGAAATCTGGTGTGTAAAGAACGATTCCATTCCACGTCATCTCCCATCAATGCTCTGTCACTCACCGATAAGTGATTCTGATGATGACTCCTGGTGCTCTATGCCACCCTCTCCAGCTGGCTTGACTGAACCTTCTACCTGGAAGCAAAACAAAAACCTAGCAGTCTTACATGTCTTTTACACACACATGCATCGATCTGTTCCTTCTACAGCATATTTAGCAGCTCTGGCGTTCTATGCAGAAGGAGCAATTGAAATGAAATTAAACCATTACATGGCCATGGTAAACCTGAGATTTCAGGCCATCATGCAAGAGACTGAAGTACAGTTATCTTCATTTTAAGCAGAGAAAAAGAGGTACAGGTCAAAGTGATTCATCCATAGCTCCCAACAGCTCAGCAGCAGCACCAGGATTCCTGTCTTTCAAGTCTCAGCAGTGCAGCCACAGTGCCATAAATACCTAAAACAGCAAAATATTGTTTCCTTTTCTGGTTTGTTTGTTTTTGCTCTTTTTTTTTTCTGATACAACGAGACATTCTGTAGAGGAAAAAGCAATCCTGCTGCTGAGCTATGGGAAGTATTGGAACTGTCCATGCAAAATCAAAAACATCCTGTAGTGTGTGTGGGGAAGAGGCAGAGCACAGCCAAGACAGGATCTTGGCTGAAGTCTGTGCATAGACAAATGACACAGGCTATCCTAATGACAGCCACAGAAGTCAGAAGCGCTTGGTAATTCAGAGAACATCGAATCACCTCTCCAGATTTTGCCCCCATCTGCACAGAAAGCCAAACCTGGTGACAACAGAGAGACGCTGGGTTTGCCCTGTCCCAGGATGGCCCTGCCTGCTCCTACCTCCAGCAGGAGCTCGCTCAGCTTCTGGTGACGATCCAGGAGGCGCAGAGCCGCTGCCCGGAGCTCTGCAGTGCTCCCAAAGCTGCTTTTCCGTTTCCTGGCTCTCCCTGCTGAGAAGTTTGGGTTTCTTTAGGAGCCGAGGCTCTGTGCCCCGGCGCCCCCAAAGGACAGCTCTGCTGATGCCGTGGTTTGAGCCCATCGCCCAGCAGCACCGCGAGGCATCGCTGTACAGCGCAGGGCCCTCGGCCCACGCCGTTGATGTTGTTGCAGGCCGGCCCTAAGACCCAAACCGACCCCAGTGCTGCATCAAGGACACAGGAAGAGCACCGGCCTGGGAGCGGGTGCGTGAAGACGGGGCTCTGCGCCGGGGTGAGCATGGAGCATGGCGCAGGCCCGAGGAGAGGGGAGCTGAGGGCAGAGATGGGACATCCATCCCTCCTTTCATCTCTGCCGTGCTGCAGGGAGCACCAGGAGCATCAAGAACCCCGCACCCACCCACTCCCCCAACCCCGCACCTACCCAGCAGCTCCCGCAGCGCGCTGCCACCCGCACCCGCCATCACGGCGCGCCCGCCAAACCACCCCCCCCGCCATGCGCCGCCATTGGCTGCCGCCGGAAGAGCGCGTCTCCGCCTATTGGCTGAGAGAATAGTGGGCGTGGACCTGTCATCGCTCCGCCATCTTAGGAGTGGCGGGGGCAGGAGGCCGCCATGTTGGGAAGGGCAAAGTGAGACACGTTGGGGTGTTCCAGAAACGTGGGGATGTGGGACTGAGCGACGTGGTCAGAGGCCATGGGGGGGGGGGGGGGGGGGTTGGGATTAAGCTTGAGGGTCATAGAGATCTTTCCAGCCCGAACGATTCTGTGATGCTATGGAGGTGGTAGGGGTTTCAGAGAGAGCAGCGTCTCTCAAATGCCTTCCAACAGGAATTTTGGGCTGATTCTTCCTGGGAGGCAGTTGGCACCAGCCAGGATCCAGCACCGCTACAGGCAACGCCAGGACAGCGGCGTGCTCCTGCCCTGCTCCTACCGCACCCGCTGTGCCTGCGACTGTCCCCAGGTGACACGTGCCAGGTAACACAGGGCGGCGGCAGCTCGTTACACGGGGAACAATGGCAGCAGGTGAAAAACCGCAGGGGATTTCCCACTGGGAGGCCGTTTGCAGACGTTAGGGATGTGTCTGCCCAGTGCCATGCTCTGGGACAGGGAAGTCATCCCCCACCATGTGCCAGTCTGAGCAAATCCCTCTGTTATTAACATCACCAGCAGGTTGCTGCCTCGCTGGTTTACCAGCTTGCAGAGAGCAGTGCTTGCTATATTTAATCCCTCCGTGCTCTATCTGGGAGGTATCCTGAGTTAATGCAGTCTGCTCAGGGAATTGGTGTTAATTAAAATATTAATGAAGAAGAATCTAGAAAGGAAATGGAGCTTGAACAGACACTCCACAACTCAATGAGCTGCTCTGTGGGGACTCGATGAGAGGCATTTCAGAGAGCAGCAAATTGGGCAAAGCCATCTCTGTGATGGCCATAGTGATGAGGCCCCCCATAAGGGTTGCCAGGAGATGCTGTGGGTGTCCCCTCCCTGCAGACACCCAGGGTCCAGCCAGGGGGGCTCTGAGCACTGATGAAGCTGTGGGTGTCCCAGTTCATTGCGGGCAGTGGGGCCAGGTGGCCTTTAGAACTCACTTCCAACTCAAAGCATTCTGTGGTTCTATGATGTTGGCTTCCTGTGGCTTTGGAATGAATTATTATTGCATAGGACAAAGGACACCTTGAAGAATGTATTACCTGCAAACAAACACTGCCTGCTGCAGGCTTCTGGGCACAGCACTGCCGTGGCCCAGCCCTGCCACGCTGCTGCATCACTGCGTGGGGTGCTGGGAAGTGCAGAAATCTGATGCTCCTGCAGCACTTTGCAACCTTCTCCCAACCTGTTCTTTTTTTCTTTTCTTCCCCTCCTCCTCCTCCCCCCCCCCCCCAATTCTTTCATTTTTAATTAAATCTCCCCTATACACATACACGCTTGGCTCTGTTTGATTTTTTCCCAAGGCAGTAACTTTTAATTATATCTTGATTACACATTAATTACAGTTGTACCCAAAGCAAAGGGCTCTGCACTTTATAATTCAAATGCCCTCCCCTGTGTCCTGCGGGCTGAATTACCACTCTGAACACCACTGCCCTGCACCAACCCACTGTGCCTTCCTGACTGTGTGTTGGGCTCAGCACCACTCTGGGCAGCGTGCTCAGCTTTCCTCCCTCTGCTGTTCCAAAGTAGGCTGTAAAGCCAGCTGACGGCAGGGCAAATGTCTCATTCAAATCTCAGCAGTTTGTGTGCGGAAGGTGAGATGGAGACTTGAGCATCTGGGGAGGTTTGGATTGGATATTAGGAGCAGTCAGGCAGTGGCACAGGCTGCCCAGGGAGAGGTGGGGTCACCGGCCCTGGGGGTGTTCAAGGACTGTGGAGATGTGGCACAGAGGGATGTGGTTATGGGCATGGTGGGGTGGGGTGGGCTTGGGCTTGGGGATTGTAGAGGTCTTCTCCAACCTGAATGCAATGATTCTATACTGACCTTAGCTGGTGCCTCCATGTCACGCTCCCGTAGAACATGGGCCCTGTGAAATGCCCCATCTTGGTGCCTTCTGCTGGCCCCAATCCCATACACCAGCGGCGAGGTCTCAGCTCCTTCGCCACGGGTGATGTGGGAATGCACAGGGCCAGGTGCTGCAGGCACAGAGCCGTGAGATGAACGTGAGGAAACACCTTGCTCACAGCACTCTGTGAGTCCGCAGGGATGGCCCCCAGCCTTCCTGGCTCTGAGAGCCACCAGGGCTGCTGCGTCCTTGTGACCGTTCACCTGGCTCACGGCGCATCCTCAGGCGGGTTGGCCCCGGGAGCTGATAGATTCCTACGCCTCCGGTCAGGGGCTGAACGGTGCAGGTGACAGGAGCCACGCCACATGTCACACACCCTACACCCCGCAGCCTGCACCCCGTCGTGTCCCGCACCCTGCACGAAGCTGCGTGCCTTGCACTGAGCACCACAGCACGCACCCCGCACCCAGCCCGATGTCCCCCACGCCGTGCTCCGTGCCTGCATCCCGCCAGCCCGCTCACTCTCTTCCTAGTCGAGCCGTGCAGAGCCGCGTTGTACCGAGCCGTGCCGTGCCAAACGGAGCCTTAGAGCGCCGAATCGAACCCGCCCGCGCCGCGCCGCGCCGTTCCGTACCCACCGTGCGCCCCCGGTGGCGGCGGGAGGCGGAGCGGGCGGGGCCGGGGCTGGGCGGGCCGAGTTGTGCCGAGCCGAGCGGAGCCGGCCCTCCGCCCCTCCCGCCCCGCCCGCCCGTGCGGCGGCCGCGGCGGAGGTCGGCGGCGGCGGTGCGCGGGGATGGGGCGATGGCGCGGGCGGGCGGCGGGGGCCCGCGGGAGCTGTCCCTGGAGGAGGTGCTGAAGTGCTACGAGCAGCCGCTGAACGAGGAGCAGGCGTGGGCGCTCTGCTTTCAGGGCTGCCGTGCCGCCGCCGCCGCCGCCGCCCCCTCCGCCGCTCCGCTCCGCACCGCCGACATCCGCCTCCGCGGCGACGGCAGCGTAGCGCTTCCACCCCCGCCGCCCGGTAAGGAGCTCGGAGAAGGAGGGGCGGGGCCGGCAGCGGGGGGTTCCGCCACCGGTGGGGGGGTGTACCGGCGCCGGGGGTACCGGGTTATCGGAACAGTGAGGTACCGGGACCTGCGGGGAGTGCTGCACCGCGCTGCCCACCGGCGCTGCCCGGGTTACCGACGCCGCAGCGGCCCTGGGATTACGGGTGGAGGACACCGGCACCGGGAAGGAAGGACGGGAACTGGAGGAGGAATAGAGAGAGTCGATACCGGAGAGAAAAAGGACGGGAGGCCGTGGGCGTCGGTGTGGGGTCGGCAATGCGGGCAGCGGCAGCGGGGGGGCGGGAAGGCGGGACTGGAAGGCGGGACTGGCAGCGGGGGGGACCGGAGGTGGTGGCAGCGATGGGACCGGCACTGCGGGACCGCGAGGATGGAGCCGGGCGGGGCTGTGCGTGGGGCTGGGGACGGCGGAGCCACGCAGGACAGGCAGGGACGGATGGACGGACGCGCAGGGACACACAGCGGCACGCAGCGACGGCCGCAGCGCACCCGCACCCACGGGCACAGACCCCGCACCCCCCTCCCTCAGGGGGCATCGCGGGGCAGCCCCGACCCCGACCTTTGCACTCTCGGTCGTGCCTTCCGTGCGGGCGGGCGGTGCTGTCGGGCAGAGCCCGCTGTGTTTATGGTCTGTAATTAGGCACGGCCGGGTGCCAGCAGCAATGAGCAGCCTGAGCCTAATGACAGAGCTCAGCCCACGCCTCGCCCCGCGTGGGGACAGCCCCGACTGGTGCCCGCCGGCTCCTGCGTGCCCCAAAATGGCTCGGGGTGCCCGGGCCGAGCAAGGACGCTGCGGTGTCTCCGACTGCTCAGCAAGGCTGCGGCATTGCGGCATGTCCCCACGGCTGGCAGCGAGCAGGGTGCTGCGGCGTGGCTGTGTGTCCTTGCTGCTGGCTGTAGCGATGCTCCTGGGAGCAGGGCATAGGGATGTATCCAGGCTCTTTGCTGCTGCAGCGCTTGGGGGCTGTGGGTAGCTCCCAGCACAGCCATGGGTATAGCATGGGTCCCAGCACCAGCACATAGCTCTGCAGTGGCACAGGGCACAGGGTGAACCCACAGGGGGTGTACTCCATGTCCCCATCCCACAGCGTCTCCCACCCAGAAGGAAGCAGCCAGCAGGTGAGTGCTGCACAGCCACCAGCACCGTGGCCTCATTTGGCACCACGGCTGCAGGCACTGCTGTTCCTGGTGCATCCTGTCCTGTTGCAGCCATGGCTGCTCCTCCGTCCCTGGTTTGCATCCAGGAAAAGCTTTTCTGCTTCCTCCTCCCAGCTGGATCTGCTGGCTGCTCCACCACCATACGGGATGTGATGCTGGTGCCATTCCCCTGGGCTGCCTGCAGGGCTCAGGGACTGACATGGCTGCAGGGTCACAGGCTTCCGTAGTCAGTGGGAGGGGGCTGCAATCCTGTTCTGCCTGGCCTCATCCTGCTCAGAGGGTCCCAGATTGGGCTCCTGACTGCAGCCAGCACGCAGCCTCAGCTGTCCCTGCCATGGGCTGCTGCATTGATTAGCTAAATGGGGAGATGGGCACAGCATGTAATGGATGCACAGATGATGGTGGGGTAATGGCCTGCACTCTCCTGGGCCCAGGGCAGTGCTCTGCTCTGCAGCTGCTGCTGGGCAAAGTGGAGCAAGGAGCACCCGGGCACTTCCCTTGGGTCCCATGTGAAAGACACAGTTGCTTGTCATCCTATGGCTGCAGTGCTCCCCCAGAAGGGGCTGAGCTGCCTGAGAGCCTTTGGCCTGAGCTTTTGTGTGTGTGCAGTGCTTGTGTGTGTGTGCAGTGCTTGTATGTATTGGCGTGGTGCCTGTGTGTGTGCATGGTGCTTGTGTGTGTGTACAGTGCTCCAGCTGTGCCACCTCTGCAGTGAAAGGAGCATCAGTAGCACTGTCAGCTGAGTGCTGCCCGTCTCTGCACCACATGCAGGGCTGTGCTGTTGGTCCCTGCAAACAACACGGGGCTGTGCCAGCTCAGGATGAGACTGGCTGCAGGTGGGAGTCCTGGCTTGGGTGCAGCAGAACCAGGGTGGGGGGCACAAAGTGAGGTAAGGCTGACCCCCAGCCTTGGGGCCTCAGTGACTGTACCTTTCTCTTCCCCAGAGCTGCCTCTGCTGCTGACGCCTGCTGCTGAAGCACAGGTATGTGGGGACCCTCATCTCTGAGCTGGATGTCTGCTGGCTGCATATCACGGGGGCCCCTAGGCAGGCAGTGTCACAGCACCACAGCATGGCTATGTGTTCCCCTGTGCATCTCCTCCTGCTCCTCTTGCTGTGAGGCAATGGGGTCCTGGTGTGCTCTGGGTGGTGAGGCCCAGACTCAACGGATGGGGCTCTGCACGCAGATATGGCACGGGCAGTGCCAGGGCTTTTGGTGTCACAGCGGTGCCGTTTCCTTGCAGATGGTGCAGTCCTTGGGTTTTGCCATCTACCGGGCGCTGGACTGGGGGCTGGATGAGAACGAGGAGCGGGAGCTGAGCCCACAGCTGGAGCAGCTCATCGACCTGATGACCAACAGTGACTCAGAGGACAGTGGCTGTGGCACGGCCGATGAGGGCTATGGGGGGCAGGAGGAGGAGGAGGAGAGTGGCGAGGGGCCACTGCGAGCTGTGCGCACTTTCGGGCAGGCCATGCGGTGCTGCGCTGCACGCCTCGCTGATCCCAACGAAGCTCAGGCTCATTACCAGGCCGTGTGCCGGGCGCTCTTTGCTGAAACTGTGGAACTCAAAGCCTTCCTGGCCAAGATCCGCGATGCCAAGGAGGTGAGAAGGTTGCCTGTGTGGGGAGATTGTTGGGATCTTAAAATGCTGCAGTGACCGCAGTGGGATAACAGTGTCCCCATGTCATCACAGATGCTGCAGAAGCTGAAGGAGGATGAGGAGGCAGAGGAGAGGCCAGCAGCTGAGCTGGGCAGCCTGCGCAACACAGACTGGGTACAGCAGCACAGCACGGCCATGCAGGGGGTTGGGGCTGTGGGAGGGCCAGCTCTGACCCCACACCCCCGGCAGGCCCGGCTGTGGGTGCAGCTGATGCGGGAGCTGCGGCACGGCGTCAAGCTGAAGAAGGTGCAGGAGAAGCAGTTCAACCCGCTGCCCACCGAGTACCAGCTGACCCCCTTCGAGATGCTCATGCAGGACATCCGTGCGCGCAACTACAAGCTGCGCAAGGTCATGGTGAGCTCAGACAGGTGACCCCACACTGGGATGTGCTGCCATCAACCAGCTGGTGCTGACACTGTTCTCTACCAGGTGGACGGGGACATCCCACCACGAGTGAAGAAGGATGCCCACGAGCTCATCCTGGACTTCATCCGCTCCCGACCCCCACTCAAGCAGGTGGGTGCTGACCCCGCAGGGTCCCCATGGCCGCAGCCCCCGGGCTGGGCTCACTGTGAGCCCTGAGCTGCAGCATCCCGGCTCTGTTTCCTGCAGGCGTCAGAGCGGAGGCTACGGCCACTGCCCCAGAAACAGAGGACACTGCATGAGAAGATCTTGGAGGAGATCAAGCAGGAGAGGAAGCTCCGACCTGTGGAGACATCATACCGGGGTCAGAAAGGTACTGGCATTGCCTCCTTTGCACCATGGTGTCATGGCAGGACCCAGTGCCAAACCCCATCCCCTTCCCAGGGTACAGCTCACTGCCCTGCATCCCGCACGCCTGCTCCAGCCACCTCACGTCCAGCTCCTGCATCGATCTCTCTGTGCCCGAGGCCAGCACAGTGCCAGCACGGCCACGGCCCCGCGTCCTGCTCAAGGCACCCACACTGGCAGAGATGGAGGAGATGAGCATCTCCGAGGTGAAAAAGGGGCTGTGGTGGGGATGCCAGGGGGGCACAGGATAGGGGTGCGTGGGTCACTGGGTGATGCTGTCCGTGCGGCCTTGCAGGAGGAGGACTCACCAAGCACAGAGTCTGTCTCAGGGCTGCCTATGAAGCGGGACCGCTCCTTCTCAGAGCAGGACCTAGCCCAGTTCCAGAGTGAGCTTGGTGGTGGCCACGCAGCACCCAAGGTGCTGGAGTCGCTGGATCCCGAGCCCCGGCCCCGATCAGGTACTCCTGTGCTGCCCCAAGCCCAGTCCTGCGTTGGGATCCCCATCCCACAAACACTCAGTGTCCCTGCCCTCAGCACAGCCCACCCCATGTCCCGCACACCCTGTCCCCATGTCACCAAGGGTCACTTTGCTGTGCTCTCCAGCCAACACTTGCTGGAGGAGTTGTGTGTGGCAGTGTGTCCTCACTGTGTCCTCCTGGTGTCCCACCATGCAGGCTCTGTTCCCGCCAGCTACCACCCAGTGCCATACGGCTCTGCGCCCCGCGCTGCACTGGGCTCAGTGGAGGAGAAGCCAGAGGATGGCTCCAGCACTGCGCCCAGCAGCAGCTCCAAGCACCTCTGGCTGGTGAGTGCGAGACTGGAGCTGCGGGCATGGCCCAGAGTGAGGGCTCACAGTGCAGGATTTGTGGGGTCGGGTCATGCCACATGTGGGAGTGATGGCTCCTGTCTCCCCCAGGAGTTCAGCCACCCTGTGGAGAGCCTGGCCCTCACGGTGGAGGAGATGATCAATGTGCGTAGGGTGCTGGTCAAGGCCGAGATGGAGAAGTTCCTACAGAGCAAGGAGCTCTACAACAGCCTGAAGAAGGGCAAGGTGGGGACTCAGACTGGGGGGGCTGAGCTGCTCCCATGCCATTTGCACCTGGTGCTCACCCTGCCTGTGCCCACAGGTCTGCTGCTGCTGCCGCGCCAAATTTCCCCTCTTCTCCTGGCCTGCAGCCTGTCTCTTCTGCAAGCGGTGAGCACTGTGCCATGCCACGCCATGCTGTGTCGTGCTGTGCTGCACTATGCCATGCCATGGTGCTGGGACTGGTGGGAGGGTGCCTCGGTGGTGGCCCTGCTCACCTGCTTCTCCCCATATCCCCAGGTCTGTCTGCTCCTCCTGCAGCCTGAAGGTAAGGGACCTGCTCAGATCACTGTCACCAATCCCAGCCCCAGTCCCTGTCTGACCATCTGGGCTGCGCTGACCCCGCATGGACCTGGGGTGAAGGGGACGCCCCTGGGTGCTGCCCCTGATGCCCACTGCCGTGACAGATGAAGATGCCTTCCAAGAAGCTGGCTCACATCCCTGTCTACGCACTGGGCTTTGAGAGCCTCCCAGGCTCACTGCTGGCCAAAGCTCTGCCACTGCGCAAGAGGGAAACCTTCCAGTGAGTCCAGCACCCTACAAGGGTCCCGCGTCCTCAAATGTCTTCCTCCCACCCTCCTCCTCCCCGTGCCGGGGCTGATGGCACACACTGCACCCACAGCTCGCTGCCAGGTCCAGGCTGGCGCCGGGTGGAGGAGGAGTTCCCCCACATCTATGCTCAGGGCTCCGTGCTCCGCGACGTCTGCAGCGACTGCACCGGCTTCGTGGCCGACGTCATCTGCTCCAGTCGCCGCAGTGTGGCCGTCCTCAACGCCGCTCCGCGCCGCCCCGCTGCCCCGCGCTCCCTGCGCTGCAGCTCCTGGCACGAGTGAGGGCCCGGCGCCCACCCTGCCCAGATGTACATATATACATAGGATGTATACATACAGCCTCTATATTTATATACCTTACGGACATTATGGACCAGGGGATGCGGAGCTCCGTGGCTCCCAGCTCACATCCCCGTGATGCCCTCCTGTCTCCGCTGCTGATGGGGCGCTGGCACGGCCCCGGGGACAGGGAGGGGGTCTCTCTGGGGCACTCTTTGTCCCCCATCCTCTCGGTCCCATTTCTGTGCCAAGCCCTGCAGGGACTGGGACGCCTTATTGCCCCATGTTGGTGTCACGGCCCTGCAGGTGGCACAGCCCCATGCTGATATCACGGCCCCTCGGGTGCCACAGTCACACTGTACATAATGACCCCCTGCCAATAAACCATTCTGGGCTGCCCTCCCGGGGCTGTTCCTGCGCTGGATGGAGTCGGGCACAGGGTTGCGCAGGAGGGTGCTCGGGGACAGAGGGGACACCCCAAGTGACCCCGTGGTGGGCTATCGGCCGGGCCCCGCATCACACCGCTGCAATCTCTTTGGAAGTACTGCAGGAACGGGGCTGCCCCTGCGATGCTCGCCACCCCATCTCAGGCTGTGACCCACTGGCACCGTGGGAAAACCCCTCACCAACAGTTCCCACGCCCACCCAACCGCTCAGGGCCCCCGAGCTGCCCCCGTGCCCCGCTGTGCACCCCCACCTCCGGGTTATGTCCCGCCGTGACCCCGCGCGGGGACCGTGGGAAAACGCGCATCCCCACGCTCCCTCCCCGAGACATATTTCACGCAGCGATAGCACGGGGGCGCGAAATAGGTTCTACACTGCGGGTACCGCGCCTGCGTCCCTGCCGGCTCATGAAGGCGCCGTGCGAGGGGATGGGCATCAAAGTTACGCGTGCGCGCTGGAGCCTCGCGCGCAGGCGCGGTGCGCGGATCAGACTGCGCAGGCGCAGTGAGGCGCGGGGCTCCATGTCGCGGAGGGCCCTGCGGCGGCTGCGGGGCGAGCAGCGGGGCCAGGAGGAGCCGGGCCTGGGCGAGTTGGGCCTGGCCTCCGGCCCCGAGCGTGGCGGGGAGCGGCCGCAGGCAGCTGCCAAAGCCAGGGGTCGCCCCGGTGTCAGCAACCGCTTCGAGCTGGTGAGGGGCGGCGGGGCCTGGGGAGGGTCGTGCTTTAGGGGCGGTGTCAGCGGTGGGTTTGGGGCGTGCGGCGGCAGGGAGGTCCGAAAGGAAGGATGAGTGTGGGGATGGGAGCTGGAGGGGGCTGTGGGGATGGGGAGGGAAAGCTGGTGAGGGACGCAGGCAGCAGGGTGCACGGAGAGGCGCCTGGGGCTGCGTGGCACCCGAGGGTGGCCGGGGTGTCAGTGTTGGAAGCGCGGGGCATGGCGGAGCGGGGGCTGGGTGTGTTGTCAGAGCTGGGAATCATTGCTGCTGCCTTCCCAGTGTGCGCGATCCTGGTGCTGCTGATCTGGGATCACATGGGCGCTGAGGGCACACGTGGGTCTCTGGAGGGACAGATCCCAGCCCCTCATCTCTGGGCCCCTTGGCCAGCCTCAGCTGTTCCCCTCTTAACCGTGAGGCTGTGAACAACGTTGGTTGCAGAGACTCTTCCCAGGGAAGAGTGGAATCCAGATAGGGCTGCGTGATTGATTTATGCTCACTGTGTCATAGCAGACCTGTAGTCGTGGGTCTGCAACCAGTAAGCAAATGCAAAGACACCCCGGTGCCCAGCAGGCACCGTGCTTTCAATGAGCAATCACCCCCAGCCCATGTTCTGGAGAAAGCAACTGAGAAGCTGAGCCCTGCACTGCTTCTGCAGGGCTTTATGATGTGCAGGTGTGAATAGAACAAGGTTGCACAACCCTGTCCTCATGGCTGTAGGGAGGGCGTGATGCAGCCGTGTACCTGCTGCTGCAACTTGTTCTTTTGTTTGCACAGATCACCAGTGAAGAACTGGAGGATGACCTGTCATCCAAAGAAGGGCGAGCAGATGCCAGGCTCAAAGAGCACAATGTTGCAGAAGGAAGCAATGAGGAGCCTACACCTGAAGAGGCAGAACACAATGGGCAGAGAGATGGGAAAGGGACAAACCAGCCAGACCAAACGGTAACACAGCTGCAGCTGCCTGGTAGTGACAGCTGCTGCCATGCAAGGCACAGAAAGTGATTCAGAAAAAGAGGCTGCTTCTCTGCTCCATTCACTGCACAGTTAATACAGCGCTGTGGTATAGGCAGGCTGGGCTGCTGGGTCAGTGCTCAGCAAGCATTTGTTGTGGAGTGAATGGTGTAAATGCTCCCAACAATATAAGCTGAAGATTGGACTTGCTTCTTTCCTGTTTCGCTTGTATTTGTTGTTGTCATTTTCTGTTAGAGTCCCTTCTCTAATCTGTTTCAGCTCGAAAACATCTCCTTGACATGACAGTTGCAAAAGCATGTGAAGAAATGGGCTTTTTAAGTAACAGCTGGACACTGCAAATCTAGCCCATACAATATTGGTGGTGAGGGTAGGGGCACGGAAAAGAATTATCCCCTTGGCCTCATCCAGTAGAAGGCAGTGTTTGGTGTGGTGGCAGTGTGGCTGGAGGAGGAGGGGCTGCCCTCTGTGTGTGCTTGGGAGTGCTTCAGATACGCAGGGTGAGCTTTGCTCAGTCAGACCTCATGTGAGCAGTGGCTCAGATGTGGCCCTGACCCCAAATTTGCTGTTGAACACAGCAGAACGCACCTGCTGCTGGTCTGTGGATTTCCTGGGTAGAAACATGGGTGCTGAGAGCATGTGTGGAACCAGATTGGAGCTGGGTTCCTGGCTCTGAAATCTGCCTGGGAGTTGTGGAGCTGTTCTTGGGACTCTGTTACTCAGGTGTAGTGCTGTGGAGAGCTGGTGATCCTGGAAAAGTGTCATTAGTTCTGTGTGCCCTGGGGAAGCACCAGCACAGATTGCAGCACGCATCTTGGGTTGGGAAATGTTTTGCAGCATCATGAGCTGAAGCAGCTGCATCTGCAGCAAGATGAGTTTGTATCACATGGTGCTCTCAGGCAGCTGTTGGTTTCTGTTAATTGGTGTGACTGATGAAGCTGGAAACACAGAAATGAAGTTTGTTCTAGGAAGTAATGCAGGGATGAAACACTTCTTCCAAACCCTGGCATGTCTAAACTGTTTCTTGCCTGATTTTATGGTCTCAAGCATAGAAGTGGAAGTAACCTGAGATTCATCCCTCATATTTGCAAACCCTTGGTACTTTCTTCTATTTTCTCCTTGCATCTCAAGTTTCATTTGCTGACAAGGTGAGTATTGTAGAGATGAATATTGGTTTCATTCAAGGGACCTTCTGGTATGCTGATCCCTGTGGAAAATATTCTTCTCCTCGATGGAGCGTTCTTTTCCAGCAGTGTCTGGGTTTGCTCTGACAGCTGTTTCATTTCTTTTTGCAGCCTGTGTTGAATAACAAGCCACGAAAGAAAAAAAAGAAAAGGAAAACAAAGAAAACTTCAGCAGGCGAGGCTCTGGTATGTGTGTGTTTGTTGTGAGGGTTGGTGGCTGTGCTGATGGCTGCCTTGGGATGGGATGACAAAGCGATGACACTGGCAGTTGCAGAAAAGATTTTGAAGCCAAAGTGCTCCTCCTTGCACTGTGCTCATTTAAATGTATGAAGTGGCAACAACATTGTGGTCCTCGAAGCAGTGGGACTGGCACAGCCCTGCTGCAGGTGGTTTAGAGCTGAAATCCTCACAGCAGCTTTTCCTTTCATCTTTGAGGCTCTGCACAGGAGGGGACTTCCAAGGGTTTTGCATTTTCATGATACTGATGTTGCCCTACTTAGAGAGCTCTTCCAGCACTGCAGAGCTCTACAGAGCTCACACTGCTGGCAGTGATTCCTGTTGCCTTTGCCTGTTTCTCTGTGCACAGCCATGCTCCTCCTTGTTGTTTGGCATCATAGAGCTAAATGCTGACAAGTGTGTGCTCATCCCAAGTGCATTATCAGACATGCATGGCTAACTGTCCTTCCAGGAGGATATGCTTCTGTCTCCTTGTAATGAAGGGAATGAGGGGATGGTGATTCTCATTCTCTTAATTGTCCACTCCTAAGTTAGAGTGCTTGAAGAGGAGAAAGAGCTTTATCCCACATCTGTGTGTTGTGGATAAAACAGACACATGTTTATACTTGAATCTTTCTTTATTATCACTCTGTTATGCTTGAATGCTTTAACTGCATGAGCTAGTTTAGGAAACTGAGTTTAGAAGAGTAGTGTATATAATATAAGTGCAGTTCAAGTTGTTTTGTTTTTTTTCTAAAAGCCAAGAGCCTCAATTTGGGAGAGGTCCTTGGCAATACACAGTGGGCTGCAGCATGCTTTGGTGCTGGGAGGGCTGCCCCAGGTAGGTGTGGGCTGGCAGCCGCCTCCCTGGGAATGCATGTGGGGGCTGAGGGGTCAGTCACCAAGGGAGAAAACCCCTCAGAAAGCCTGCTTCCTCTCCTGCTCTGAGAGTGACGAGCAGAAGGGTGACATCTGCCAGCCCTGAGCTCTGGGGAGATTTCATACCCAGAAATAGGCAGTTTGGTTTGCAAACTAGAGATAAAGCTGCCTTTGTTCTGACACTGAAATGCAAAACAATATAAGCTTTTCATGTACTCACTGTACACAGTATATTTAGCTGGAAAAGGCAACTTCAGAATACTGTCTGAGTGTCACGAATGGAATTCCACCTTCTGCCCATGTGCATCCCGAGGAGGATGTGAAGGGCCGCATGAGAAATGCGTCACTTGCTGTCTGTGGGCAAAATAGAGGGAAATTGAGGTGAAAGTGCTGTGCAGCTGTTGAATGTGTTCTGCTGGATGTGTTCTTCTGGCTGTTTGAAGAGTGGGAAGTGACCATGCAGTATGTTAAAACTGGATTACAAACGTGCTAGTGTCTAATTTTGTGTTACAACGGTCACAGCAGTAATTCAATGTTTCCGTGGAAAGCGGACAGGGAGAGTTGATTTATTTTACCATTAAAATCAGCCCCCCAACTTTTCATGGTATTTTAGGAAGTTAGGTCATCGTATAAGTAAACAAGACAAAGCACAGCTTTGTGGGAGAGGGGAGACCACACATCAGACATGCACATACTTGTGAGCTGTGTTGTGTGGGAAGGACCACTGTGTCCTGCTGGTTTGGGCTCAGAGCACGAGGCCAGCAGCAAGCCTGCCATGCTGGCTTTATTCAGTTGACACACTCAGGCTTGTGATAGTATGAGAAGTGTCCTGTGATGCCTTGAGGAAGGAGGGAGAGCAGCCAGCCTTCTGGGGGCAGTTGGGCAGGGATGGCAAGCACAGGAGTGGGATTCCTGAGGGAAATGCAGGGTGCTGGGTGGAAAGTGAGAAGCCTCGATACAAGAGAGCATGTGGGCTCCCAGAGTGGGGCTGAAGCAGGGTGAGCAATGGGGGGGTCTGTGGGGTGAGATTGGGGCGAGCCACAGGGCCTGGAGGCAGCTGGGTGACCTGTGTGCCTCCGTGTCTCATCCTGTAATTACTGCCTTGTCTTTGCACGTGCATGTCTTAAGGAAGATGATGACCTGGAAGACATCGACAGCTTGCTGGAGAAGATTGAGGATACCAATGGACTATCACAAGAGAGCCAGAGTGGAATAATTGCTGACAGCAAGCCTCTGCTCTACATAGAGCACAGGTAGTGCTCGCTTTCCTTCCTGGCTTTGAGTGTGACAGTACTTGTATGCTGAGGAGGGGAGGTGGGAGCCTACGTATGTAAGCTGGCCATAAATCCAGGACCTTATGTGAAAGGGGTTGTGGTAGGTGGCTGCACACAGCCCCATCTCTAACTATTGCTCCTAAAGGTGTGCTCAGCTTTAAGCAGCAGTGAGAATTCTTTGCTGTCCCATCTGCTCTGAGTGTGTGACTGGACCAGGATGACCTCCAGAAGTGCCTTCCAGGCTAAAGCTGTTGGTGACTCTGTGTTGAAAACTGTTGGTTGACTCTGTGCCTCAGTGAACAGAGCTTTGAAACCAGACTAACCTGGCCAATGTGCCAATATATGCTGCCCTTCAAGGAGGGCTAAGCAGTACCAGCAACTAATTTCACCAGGAGTGCTTGTTAGACTGGCCTAACCTTTCCAATATCTGGCCATCAGCAAAGTGGACTAAGTGCTGGGCATGTCCACCAGCTGAGAAAGCTGTTAGCCTCACTAGACATCTGTAACATCACAGCCTGGATCAGCCAGCTTCTCTGTCCAGCCTGTCTCTGGGTTAGTGTGGATACTGGCAGCTCTTTTTCTTTTCTGGAAAAAAAAGAAACAAAAACATTTAAACTTGAAGAACTGAACAACTCACCACATGAGGATTTGAAACCTCCAAACACACTGCATCAAAGCAATCTAGGCTGGTGGGCTTTTTTTGCTAGTTTAGTTAGTTTTCATTTTAGTAAAGGAAGGGATATTTGCTTGCTGAGATGTTTTAGACCTCAGTGAATTCTCTGGTGAGGTGAACGTTATTCAGAAACCTTTGAAAAGTGGATAATGTCAGAGTGGGTGTGAGCTGGCAGTGCTGGAGCTCAACCTTCCCACTCCCTCTCTTTGAGCTTTTCTTACTGGATGGTAAAGAGGAAACCCCCCTTAAATGTGCCTCCCTTCTCTGGGCCAAATGTTAGATTAAGAAGACTGTAGGTGTTGCCATGCTTTGATGTAAGATCTTTGTATTAAAAGAATGTATTTTAAGCCTTGCCAGCCTTCGTACAGTGGTTAGGGTGCTTGCCCTGGGTTGCAGTCCACCACCACTAACTTGGCAGTGGGTATCTCCTGTTTTCCAGATGCAGACACCCCAGGCATGCTACCCTGAGCTGAGGCTGTCCCTGAGAGCATGCCTGGCCCCAGCTGTCCTGGAGAGGGCAGCAAAAGTATTCCCTAGCTCGCAGTCTTTGGAGCAGAGTACAAGGAGCTGTGCACCTGATTGAACAGGCATTTGAATGCCTCCTGCTCTGACCATTAGCTGTTCTCCTTCTGGTGTGTGTGTGTGTGTGTGTGTGTGTGTGTGGCAGTTCAGAAGCCTGGCCAGGAATGGTTATGCTACAATACTCCTGGCTTTGTTCAAAAGGAAAAGATTGCAAGATTTTTGTCTGTTTAACTTTTCTTTCCTGTTTCAACATTCTCAGGAACTTGAATCCAGAGAATGAGTTGAAGAGATACTTTGGGGCTCGTGCTGTTCTTGGTGATCAGAGGTTAGTCCAAAATGTGATATTAAACACTTCTGAAGTTTGAGTTGCTGTGTCTGTCCTTGCCTTGGCATTGCTTACTGACTCCTTGGTGCTATGCCTGTGCCAGGAGCCCAGGGCACCCCAATATGTTCACGTAGTCTTATTTAGTAGTCAGATTTTGGATCAGAAGAAAATCTTTTGGCTGTGTGTGAGGAAGGTGTAAGGTTCCTTTGGACTTTAGCTAGTAGTTCCTTTTTCTTTTGATGTTTATGTTTTTTCCCTCTCCCATCTACTGTCAAATGCCCTTATAAAATCTTCTTGTTCAGACTCATAGTGTGCTAGGTTCTTAGTCTTGTTCCAGCATTTGTTTCCTGTTAGTATTCCAAGTCTCTGTCTTAGGTGGACCCTGAGTACTTTCCAGGTAGTCTCCTGAAGTTGCTCACATATGCCCAGGGTATCAACTGCTGTGTAGTGTAAGATTTCTGTGAATTATCCACTGCTCTGTCATTGATGGTATTCAGAAAATCCTTGGTTTCAGCGACTGGTTGGTAAATGTGCACATAAGAAAGGTAGGCTTAGGATGGTGATGGAGGAAAGGGAAGCTGTGAGAAGGTCTGTAGGTGAATTAAACTCTTTCAAGGAGAGATTAAATCAAAAGGTGGCATCTGGCACTCGAGGAAAAAGAAACATCCCTGACTAAGGAGATGTGACTTCCTTGCAATTGCCTTGATTTCTGAATTCCTCTTGCTCTGAACCAGTACATCAGTTGCACTTCTGAGTACATCTTAAACCGCATCAGTCAATGCTTGAAGGCCCTGCTGGGAGGATAAGAGTCAGAGTGATATGGGGCTCTCTTAATTGGGCTTGGGAAGCTTTCTGAAGCAAGAGGCAGCTGAGAACTTGGCAGGAGTAAAAACAAGGGAAAGAAGCCATTGAAATGCTTGAGACACTGACAAGCCCAAAAAGCAAGGAAGAGCCAGAGCGTGAAGGTATGTTGTGTCTCAAAGGCAAGCATGTTAAAGCTCTGGGCAAAAGCTCCATGTGGCAGGGCTGCAGCTGGGGAATAAATTGGATCCTTTTCCCTGAATCATCCTTTTTCTGGCTGGTTTTAGATCTCTGCATTCTGTTAGTGCAGGGAAAATGTGACCTGTCATGTTTATTTCCTCAGGCCGAGGCAAAGGCAGCGCCAGTATGTCCGCAGCACGTGGCTGACAGCTCCCAAGAATACCTGGCCACGTTACAGCAAAACAGGTGAGGCTTTCAGTGTTGCTTCAGAATGCCTCTGGCTGATGGTCCCACATCCATGTGGCTGCTCCTGCCAGTCATGCTTTCCTGGAGCCTCAGTGCACAGAAACTGGAGCTGCTTCCATCAGCTGCCAGGCCCTGGCTTCTGCACTGCCTGATGTGAAAAGGGAGCTGCTCATCAGCTAATGCTGGAGAATACTTCCTTTCTCACCAAGGAGGGCTCTTCACATTCTGTCTTAGCATTTGACTTTTTGCCCCCTCACCCTTTACTGGAGGTAGCAGGTGATGTGTGCTTCCCTTCTTGCAGTAGTCTTACACAACTGTGAGAAAACATCCACAGGGAGAGCAAGCTGTCTGGGCTTCTCAAGTGGGTTTCAGAGGTTGGCTTGTGGAAGGAAGTAATGAAATCTTGTGGGAGTTTCTGAGAACACATGTGGTTGTAGAGCCTGCAATGCCCACAAGCTTTCTATATTAGAAGAAAGCAGAGGAGTTTCAGCTGCTTGTGCTCACAGGCTGGCATCAGCAGTGCCCACATCTGTGTGCTCTCTAGGTATTGCCATGCAGCTGGTGGAGACCAGGAGGGGCGTGCAGTATTTCACATTCGAGCACCACCGCGAGTACCAGCAAGTGCAGTTCAAGTTTCTGGATGCTGTGGAGTCCATGGACCCCAACAACATCGTGGTACGTTGTGAAATTGCTCTCACATTCTGAGCACGAGTGGCCTGTAGCGCTGCGAGGCAGCGTTTGCCTTGTAACTGAGACAGGGGGCCAAAGTGGTGCAAATAAGGCCCCATCCCTGGTGGCCCACCCTTGTGGCACTGCTGGAGGATGCCAGGTGGTCCTCTGGCAGAGGAGCCTTCAGGAACTGGCTGTTTTGCTGAAGGAATGGGAATAAAGCTCCCTTGTCCTGACTCTTCAGCTGGGAAAGTAAAAATGTTACACAAATGCATCTTTAAATGGGACTCTAAACCAACAGTTATTCTATTTATAAATTCTTGCATGGTTGGGGAAAAAAAAAGTGTTTTCCTGGTATTGCAGCAAAACAGTCCTTTTGTTGAAAGCTCTTCATGCATGTTCAAGCTCATTAAAGTGTATGGTAACGTTTGTGGATTGCGATGATAAGCAACAGAGAAATTGCTCTGGACCCTGCTGAACCATAACTGAAGTATTTTTGCTCTGAAAACTCTGGCCACGTGAGTGTGGAAACATGCCCCAGAGACATTTCTTAAAGAGGCCACTGTCTCCTAAAGACAAAAGGCCCTTAAAGAGGCCAGAGTGTAGTTCCTTCTGATTTCCCACCCTCTGCTCTCAGCCAGTGCTCTCTAGAGCTCATCAGTTCTTCTTGCTAACTAGGCTGAGGGGTTCACCTTGGAAGTTGCAAGGAAATTCTATCCAGCCAGTTCAGATGCGCTTTCACACGCCGTGCAGAGCAGGGCAGATTTTCCACCGTGCATTTTGGTCTTTATCTTTGTTGAATGGCCTGACTGCATTTGAAGACAGCCCTACAGCTCTAGCCTCATTTTTCTGTTATGGGAAAACCTAACAGTCCAGGATTTGCTGATGCTCAAAGTGCTTCAGAACCCCAGCCAATGTACCTGTGACAGCCACAGTGTGTGTAGCCAGAGCGTCTGTCTGCCTTGCTGCTGTGGTTTCAGCATGCAAAACGCAAAACATGTTTTTCTGGGAGCCCTGCTCAGTGAACGCTCTTCTGCTCTTACCTGATGGATTAAATGAGTCTTGTTGGTCAAGTTGTGGTGGAATAAGAGCATTTTCCTTTATTGTTATGACCTCAGGTGCTCCACACCTTCCAAAATGAGGGACTGGGAAGGAACTTAAAGAGGGCAAGGAGAGGTGAAACATCATACAGAAGGCACCAAGGCAAAGGCACTGAGCTGGTCAGCCTAGAATGCAAAAGCTTTTAATGTAGTTGGGAATGTTGGCTGCCACCCTGCAGATGTACAACTTCCTGAGCCTCTGTAGCCCGTTTATAGTATAAGTAGTGAATGAAGAGTTCTCTGAAGTATGATGATACTTAGGCCTGCATTCAGCAGCCTGGAAATCCTTTCTTCCTGTCCACTCAGAAGCTGGATTCTGGGATTGTGGTAGGTGCATGAAAATGTCCTCAGTGCCCAGAAGAAGCAAAAGCCTGATAAAATATTCAGGCTTCTTTAAAAAGGGTTAGGGAATGAAACAAAAACGCAACAGTGCCTTCTGCTATCCTGAATAGTGTGTGCAGTTCTGGGCCCTCCACCTCCGAAAGGACACAGTGGAGTTGGGCATTATTTGGAGGACGGCAGAGATGATCAGTGGCCTGGCGTGGCCTTTGTGCTAGAATAGCTTTGTTGTCTGGGATGATGCTGAGTGGGATATGCCCTCAGGTTCAGACCCAGAGGCAAGAGCAGCCCCTTCCTCTCGTGTGCTGTGTCAGGGCATTCGTCTTCATGCCAGTCTCACAGAGCTCGCCTTGCAGGCAGAGTGCAGATTGGTGATTGGTGCCATCTCCTGATCGAGCTCATGTTCTTGTGTAGCTGCTGCTTCAGATGAACCCGTACCACGTGGACTCCCTTCTGCAGCTCAGTGATGTCTGCCGGATGCAAGAGGATCAGGAGATGGCCCGTGACCTCGTAGGTGAGAGTGGAGGTGTGGAGTGGATGCTGGCAGAGGTCGTGAGGCTGCAGCGATTCCCTGCAGTGTAACCCACTCTGTGGGCTGGGGAGCAGCAAAGGGAACCTTCCCTGTGGGGCTAGCTGGAGTTGATGAATGCTCACTAAGGAAAACACCGGCCAGAGTACTTGGCAGACAGCATTCTGGTGTAGGGAACCTGCTTTGGCAGGGGGGTTGGGCTCGATGATCTCTGGAGGTGCCTTCCAACCCCTGTGATTCTGTGCTGCTGGGGACAGGCTTTTGCTGCAGGTACGGCATGGAAAGGGAGAGGAAGGAAGGAAGAGGCACTGCTGTGACTTAGCTCTGTAGACACGTGCACACAGCACTGAGCAAGTCCTTCCTAGAAGTCACAGCTGAACGGTTGCTCTGAATTAGCCATCAAAGGCTTTTGGTTTTGTTTTGTTTTCCTTTCAGCAAAGGAGCAGCAAACCAGAAGGGTTTGGCTCTCTTTGTGAGTCTGGCCCTGAGCACTCAGCCTCATGCTGCCTTTCAGACTTCTGACTTTTGCTGGAGGCTTTTGAGTAGAGCTGGACATGCTTGTCTGTGGCAAAGCACGTTGCCTTTCACCTTTACAAGGAATGAAAGGATTGTCTGGACATGATGGAGTGGTGTCACCTGTAGGAAGTCCTTTGCAGGAGGAGACTCAGATGCAGCTGCTACCAAATGCTGCAGTGTGAGGGGTAGTCTGAGAAGCCCACCCTGCCCGTGGGGAGTGTACATGACCCTCCAGGCCACAGTGACCAGCACACTGTGTGTCAGACTCAGCTTCTTCAAGCATTACAAGCGAGTAGGAGGCATTCTGGGGGATAGCTGTCCCTCAGACTGCTGTGCTGCAGAGAGGTGAGCTGTTTGGTAACAGGAACACGTGCTTTTTAGCATGATAGGAGGGGCCAGAGATTAAGTGAGGACGGGATCTTTGGCTTCTACATGTGAAAACAGTTGTGGAGGAGGCAGCCATAGTAGCCTCAATCCCAGATCCCCTCCAGAAGAGTTACTTTGCACAACGACAGTTTGATCTAATGCCTGCAGAAAGGAGGAGGATTTGATTGCATTGCTATCTGCTGGGACCATGAAGTTGCTTTGCACTTTGCTGAGGTGTGAACAAGCTTATCTCCTCGCCTGTGGCTCATCTCACTCAGCAGTGTCTTCTTGGCCATGCTGAGCCCCGTGCTGTCAGCGCTGGGTTAGCGTGCTATGCAGGGCTGCTGGTGTGTCCTTATGGTGTCTGTGCTGTCTGCAGAGCGGGCGCTGTACAGCCTGGAGTGCGCCTTCCACCCTGTCTTCAGTCTCACCAGTGGGAGCTGCAGGTTGGACTACCGGCGGCCGGAGAACAGGTAGGCAGCCACCTGCCTCTGTACCAGCCTGAGGGCACACATGGCATCATCCCCACGGCCTGCTTTGGGCACACACACCCAGATTCACCACCCCTGCTGCATCATCCGTGCTGTGGTGCTGGCAGCTTCAAGGGACCTGAACTGTCCCTTTCTGTCGGAATAGAATTTGCCTCTCTGCAGTCAACAGCAGCCTCCCTTGGTGAGGCAGGAGCAGGCAGTGCCTGAGAGAAGGCTGCCAGCAGCTCTTGTGCTGCTGGGTCACTTGCACTGAGACAGGCTGAGGCTTTTTCTGCCAAGCATCTTCTTTCCCAGGGGATTTCGTATTGGAGCATTAGCTGTTCCTCCCTGTCACATCCCTCATGTACAATTAGTACCCATTAGCCTGAAGCAGCACTTACTTTTGTCCTAAAACTCCTCGTGGTGTGATGAGGTCTGTGTTTGGTCACTCCTGTGCTGTCTGCTCGGCCGCTGTTCCTGGCACTTGCACTCCTCAAGGCCTGGTTGTTTATGTAACACTGATAGTTCTGCAGCTGCAGAGGAAGGTGACTTTATTCTGGGAATTTTCCAGTCAGCTGACCGAAGTAATCTCTCCCAAATTGCTCTACCTGGAGATTGCTCAGGTTTCCAGCACCCGCTGGCTGACAGACCGTGCTGCCTGTGACCTCAGTGCTGTGGTCTGTATCTCACCCGAGTTCAGTGTTCATCTCCCCCCATGCATGTCTCATGTGCTGTGTCACCATCCCTGCGCAGTGCAGGGACAGCAGCAGAGGTGTGACCATGCAGAGCCCTAGCAGGCAGACTTCAGAGATTGCCTTGTTTCTGTTGTCCTGAGTAGCTGGCTCTGGGGTGTGGGTGTGCGTGCACAAGGGGGTCAGATGTAGAACCAGCTGTGGGTTTGTGGTCCTGATGCTTTCACGAAGATATCAAAATTTGAAGAAGGAAAAAAAAAAAAAAAGATTGATTTGGGTTCATTTTTAGTCCCTGTTCTTGAATGAGAAACGCTGCTTCTCTCAAATCAGGCTTCTAAAACCTGTTCTCCACACAGGGCTTTCTTCCTGGCTCTGTTCAAACACCTGATGTTCCTGGAGAAGAGGGGCTGTCCCCGGACAGCCCTGGAGTTCTGCAAGCTGATTCTGAGGTAGGTGGCCCTGCTGTGCCCCATCCCTGCAGCCAGAGCCAGGAGCTGTGGTGCTCGTGAGGAAATATGCTTTGAGCAACACACTTGACCCTCATCTGCCCAGGCTGGACAGAGCAGATGGAGCTGTAATACTGTCCCCAGCCTCAGCGAGGGCTTGTCACTCCTTAAGGATGTAGTCCCACAGGTTGGTTTTGAGCTTGTGCTCTTATCTGTACTGCTGCTGTGGAGAGACAGGTGGTTGTTTGGATGGAGGCTTAATAATACGGAGCCTCGCAGTCCCTTATTTTGGTTACCGAGCTCTGGGCCTGGCTTATAATTACAACAGAGCCTGCAGTCTCTGCAAAGCTGCTGCACAACAGTGGCTTCAGCCTTCCTCCCATGTGGTGCTGTGGCAGGCCTGTCTCCTCTTTGTAGGGCACAGTGTGGATGAGACATCGCTGTCCTCCCAGCTGTGCAGGGACGTTTGTATCCCCATTATCTCCACTTGCTGAGTTATGAAATGACTCTGAGTGCTAGTGGGGAAGTCTCATTTGACTCAGAAATTGGGGCAGGCGCTTCAGCTTTTGTGACGCTTACTTTTTGATTCTTGTTGTGCTTGCTTCCCTCTGAAGCCTTGATCCAGAGAGTGACCCCCTGTGTGTGCTGCTGCTGATCGATTTCCTGTCCCTCCGAGCCAGAGAGTACGCCTTCCTGACACGCATGTTCCAGGAGTGGGAAGTGAGTTGCCAACAGCCTTGTGAGGAACGAGGCAGGGCTAGGGCTAGCAATTTGCTCTGGGGCTGAAGAGCACAGGCCTTCTGTAAGCCCTTACCCCTTTGGGGGCTGTCTCGTGGGCAGGCTGTCAGCTGGAGGTCATTGGAACAACCTCAAAGGCTATCGTGTCAGTGTTAGTTTCTGTTGTAATCCTGGTATCTTACAATCAATTGTATAAATTGAAAATTGCTTACTCAGACGTGGGGGCACCAAGCCAGTAGCTGGGAAGCCGTACTGAGATTACTGCATAGCATCATTTCTCGGTAATTCTCTCCCTCTGATCCTGCAGAGTCACCGGAATTTGTCCCAGCTCCCCAATTTTGCCTTCTCGGTGCCACTGGCGTATTTCTTCCTGAGCCAGCAGGAGGAGCACTCGGAGCTGGAGCTGAGCCAAGCCCGGGAGAGGGCTGCCCGGCTCATCCAGCAGGCGCTGATCATGTTCCCAAGCGGTAAGTCTGTCCCCACCGGTAAGTCCATCCCTGCAGGCTTTGCCACTTTCTTCGTATGTGAGAACGAACGCTGGATTCCAGGCAGTCAAATGCAGGAGCAGCGTTTTGCCTACGGGTTGCAAATGATGTTGGCCTCTGTCCATGTGTGACGGGAGCCTTGACTCAGAGGGGTGATGCTGCTCAGCCCACTGGCAGAACCCATCGCCGGGGTTCATCCTGCCCAGCTCTGTGGGAAGGGCAGTGAGAGGGCAATGGGGCCAGGCTGGGCACACGCACCAAGAGTCCTCCATGTGCTGGGAAGAGGTCAGCAGCTGTTCTCCCTGCTGCTCACCCTCCTCTCTGAGCGGCTGATGCCCCTTTAGTGGAGAGAGTCATGGGCGTGCAAGCTGGTGGAGAGTGAGAACTGAATTCTTAGAGCAGGAAAACTTTGTACCCTGAGGGTGCCCAGAATAGACAGTGGGCCTCTCTTGACTTTCTTAGGCACTGTTGTGCTTTAGATGTTCTCTCTATGGTTGTTCATTGCTCTTGCTTTTATCCCTGCTGTCCCTGAAGAAAGACACATGCCTCTCCAAGCCCAGAGGGGCACAGAATGCCAGGGAGGATGTGTCTTTAGAGCCCAGAATAAACAGCTTTTGAACAGAGCTTTAGTTTGTGTTGGTTGAAACAGTCTTTTTTTTACAGTATGTCATGGTGACTGACATAAAACCCTTATTTAATTTCAAAGGCTAGCAACACTAAGTGCATAAAGTTGCACCTTATTTAACTGGCAAAAAAAAAAAAAGAATAAGTGTTCTTGTTTATTTACTCTGGGTCTGTTTCCGTCACCCAGAGGCTAAAACACAGCATATCTTCCAGCTGCAAAGCTGCCCCAGGGATGGGACTGTTTCTGCAGCCCTGGCAGTGGTGTCTGCCTGCTCCCATGGCACTTCTGCTGAACACGAGCTGTGTGACTTTCTCCTGCAGTTCTTATGCCGCTGTTGGACCACTGCAGTGTGCAGCCTGATGCCAGGGTCGCCTCCCATTCCTTTTTTGGGCTGAATGCTCAGATAAGGTAAGGCTTGGAGATGTTCTCAGTAAAGAGAAGGAATCGATTTTGCTGGTTGTGGGGCTTTTGCTTGCTCAGGCAGCTAATGGAGTTCAAAAGCTGCAGAGAATACTTACTTTTCTGAGAGGCTCTTAGATGCATTTATAATGGATTCCCATAAAGGCTATCAGATAACTCTCATAGACCTGCTTCACCTTAGTGTGGCTGGGTCAGAAGTTCATCCTGCAGCCTGTTGGTGCGTGTAGTTGGAACGATGTGTGCATGCTTTCAGGGCAGACTGTCTCCTGTGAGTCTGGGTTTCCTTGACATGTGGTCCTCCCAAACACGTGAATGGTCTCCCCCTGAGGTAAAGGCAGAGTAACTTTCATTTCGTGGCTGTGTCTATCCCAGAAATAGAAAGAGGCAGAAAAACTGGTGAAGGTAGATGTAGGCGGCAGGGCTGGGAGCCTGTGATTCCTCCCTGCGTGTTCTCACACCGAAGCACAGCGTGGAGACGACGAGCCCTTTCCAGGAAGCACAGAGAGCTGCAGGCAAGAGGAGAGTGCGCTGAATAACGCCTGTCTCCTCAGCCAGCCTCCTGCCTTGAACCAGTTGACATCCCTCTACGTGGGAAGGACTCACTCCCTGTGGAAGGACCCTGCTGTCATGGCTTGGCTGGAGACGAACGTCCACGAGGTCTTACGCATGGTGGATGCCAGGGACCCGCTGGTGGAGGAGTCTGAGCGCAGGTGAGTGCGGCAGGCAGAGGTGATCAGCTCTGTTGCTGGACCTCAGTGCTGACAAACAGGGACACATCAGGCCGGGGGCTCTTCAGACAAGGGAGGAGCTCTCTGTTGGGCAGCAGTGATGCTGGGGTTTGCTCAAAGCAGCTAAAAATGTTTTCAAGCTCTGAGAAGTTGAGGAGGGTGGCATTAGTTTTTTTGTCCTAAACTAAGCTTAGTTTGCTCTGCTGACCTGCAGTGTAAGGAGGCTGGTGAGAGTGAGCTGTTCTGCTCTTCCATTTGAAGGTCAGCAGCTGCCAAGTGACTTTGGCTTTGCCTTCAGTCAGCTCTGTCTGATTCTGCAAGTAACAGCAGAGCCAGGCATGGAGCTGAGGCTGCATGTAGAGAAGCAGAAATGAAATGCTGGTTGTACTGAGCTGTGCTCCTTGCTAACTGCTGTCCCCCCCTCCCTGCTTTAGGAGGAAAATGCGATACCAGAGTGCACCCAGGAATATCTACCGGCATGTCATCCTTTCAGAGATGAAGGAGGCCACGGCAGCTCTGCCTCTGGTGAGAGGCCCTGATAGGGCACAGATAGCACTGCTGTGTGCAGCGTGGTGGCATTCCAGAGCCTGCTAGACGTGCAGACGTCGGGCGCATCTCAGGCCAGAGCCACCAGAAGGAAACATCCACATGACCTCGAAGCTTCCACCCAGTTTGCCCAGCTTCCAGGGTGTCCTCGGGATGAACACACAGTGTTGTGTGGGCAGGCTGGGCTGTGGCTGATGATTTCCCCAAGACCGAGGCCTGCCCAGCTGGTCCGACTGTCTCCGTGCCTGGAGATGCACAGCCTTCACCTCCCCTCTCTTCTTCCTCTCTGCAGGAGGTGACATCGCAGCCTGTGATGGGGTTTGACCCCCTTCCTCCTTTAGACTCCATCATCTCCTACACGAGACCAGAAAGGTACCCTCACCTTGGGCCTGCTGGCACAGCTCTCCTCCCAGTGACGATGTCCTCAGCCTCGGGCTGGGCTGCACACAGGTGCTCTGTGCTGCTGTCCTCCTCCACCTGGGAGGAAGAGCGGCCTTGGCTGGTGGTGCTTGCCGACAGGCAGAGCGTACAGGCAGGACTGGTCCTGCTGCTTCTGCCTGGGGCTGCTGGTGGCTGTCAGACAGCAGCTAGTCACAGCTGTGGAGGCAAAGGCTGCTGAAGAGCTTGGGTTGTTTCTTAACTGATGTGGTTTGTAGTAAATGAAACCTGGATAAGAAACCCCTATGAATTCCCAAAGGGAGGCAGTGGGGAAGCCCAGCTGGCTCATGGAGGGGGCAGTGCGTTGTGAGACAGCATGGTTCTCACCAGCTCCTCTGCCCTGTCTTGGCCCAAACAAGCACAGTCAGGTGGAGTAGAAGCTTCCCTTTAAGTGTGGTGTGTGATTTCTGTCTTTCAGAACGAATCATCCATCCAATGAAAGCACTTTATCTCTTTTCTTCCGATCACTGTTGCCAAATTTTAACTTGCAGGTATGTAGCAAACAACAAAGCAGCTGCCTGGCAAATCAGAGCATGTTTTTGCTTTCAGTCCGCAGAAGTTTTTACTGCACAGGGTTTCTGCAAAGGGAGTGGCTCTTGGCATATGCAGTGTGTAGACGTCAGGTTGCAGAGCAGCCTGATGCTTTTTGGCATGTGGCATTGTCTGTGTCTGCCTGCTGCAGCCAGCTCCAAGCCTGGGCCCTGCAGCTCCTCTCTGTTGCAGGGTGACATCAGGCACGACGGAGACGAAGAGGCGGGAGCGGGGCAGGACCTGAACCAGGGGGTGAACCGGCTCATGGCGGCCATGCGGGACATGCTGGCCAACATCCAGTTCCAGGAACCCCCCCCGAGATGACAATCCTGAAGGCGATGGGGACTGGGACTGAGCTGAGAGCTCACACCTGCCCCTAACCCTGGGTCATTGCACCCCGCCCCCTGCGCTCCAATAAAGTCCTACAAAGCAGAGGGGCTGGCTGTCATTTGGGGGAAGAGGCTGCGGCCAGGGGAGGCTGCAGCAGGGGCTGAGCACTGTCTTAAAATGGGAGAGCTAATTACAGCAGCTGTCCCTCGGCAGCTTAGGCCCCTTCTGGCCCCTTACAGATGCATTCGTTGCCTGGTTCCCCCAGCTGCTCTCCTGAGCTGTGTCCTGTGCTTAATCATGGGAGATCTCTTTCTTGTGCTCCTCCTGTCCTTTGTGCCTCCTTCGGGTGAAGGCTCCTTTTCTCCTCCCTGCTGCTGAGTGCGGGGGCAGGGATGGACCAGGCTGCTTGGAGCTGCTCTGTTGCTGTCTGGTGGGGGGAGTAGCTCGAGTTGTGCTGCAGCCTCTGACGGTGCTTGAAACAGAAAGGATAGCCCTCCCCTCTTTTTGCTTTCCTCTCCCTTCCCTTGTTTTGCCACCTTCAAGCAGGGTGCAGTGTGGTGCAGCGCCCAGAATGAGGTCAGCTGCAATAAAGCCCTTAGCTCATCGTTCCTGCTCACAAAGCTTTTCCATTTCTGCTGTGTAACGGTGTATGAGGCTCTAATGCTGAGCCAGGCTGCGCTGCCTGGAACAACCACTCCCCCCTGTGCTGCAGCTGAGCTCCCCAGCTGGGGCTGGCTCCGTTCTGCCCTCCTGCATCCATGTGGGAGCCAAGACCCATCCAGGCTCGTGCTGTTGGGAGCTGCAGACTCGACGTTTTGCAGCTCTGTCCCCAAACCCCTGCTGATAAAGCTGAAATTCACTACTGAGCCGGGTGGAGAAGCTGATGTCTGCTAGGCTGGATTCCTCCTGCTCACGTTTCCCCCTCGGCCTGGGCTGGTCCTGCCTGGGGGGAACGGGAGGCTCTGGGGACGCCGTCTGCCCAGGTGGATGGCGCCGAGCAGGGCTGCTCCATCCAGCTGGGCTGTGCCGCCAGCATTTGGCTGTGGGCGCCTGGCCCTATGAGCTGTGCTGGAGATCAGGGCCAGGCATCGTGCTTGCACGTTTGAGGACATCCCCGTGCTGCAACTTCCAACCATGGCCTCGCCGCTCCCAGCGTGGCAGTGATGTGTGCTCTTTTGAGCTGGCCTCAACTCTGCGTGCCGCTCTCGTTTGCGGGGTGTAAAGCCATGCCTGGCACAGAGCACCCAGCCTACACTCAGCTGCCTTCATCCATGTGGGGCCAGGGGCAACTCTGAGCCCTGGGGAGGCCCCGGCCCCCACGAGAATGGGGTGGAAGCATCCGGTGGAAACAGCCAGTGGATGGAGCCCTGAATGGCTCTTTGGTGGCTGAGCAGCTCCAGGCATCAACCGTGAGCCGAAGGCACATGATGGTCAGATGGGTCCTGCATCCCCAGCCCGCCCAAGCTCCCAGGGGCACCGTGCTGCGCGAGAGACCGTGAACGGCCACAACACGGGACCGCACTCAATTGCTCCTTTGACAATCCCCAGGGGGCGCATCGCAGCCCACAGCACGGCACCCTCCCAGGGACACTTGGGGGAACGTGGCTGTGGCCGCATATGGGCTCTGCCCCCTCACGCTGCCCTTGTTGTGGGGTCCCCAGGGCATGCAAAACCCCATGGTGTGTGGGATCTCCAGTGTGCACGGCCCCAGCGCACCGGGTTCCCAAAGGGTTCAGGGAAACCCCGCTGTGTTGCACGGCCCCCAGATGGCATGCCCAGCCCCAGGGCATGCGGGACCCCAAGGCGCACAGAGACCCCGTTGTGCACAGTGCCCCAACACGGCTCAGCCCCCAGCTACCCGGGCACAGGCCGTCATGTGCGTGCCCACCCTTCTCAGGAGGAGGAGCCGAGGGAGCCAGCTTTAAATTAGGACAGAGAAAGGGCCCTTTCTTCCCCATCACCATCGCTGAGCTCCGGATACGCCAGGCAGTGCTGGTGGGGAGGCAGCTGAGGCAGCAGAGTCCCTGCGCTGCTGCCCAGTGGGCTCCTGGGTGGGGGACTCCTTCCCCATCCTTGTGTCTGGGGCACAGAGGTGCCCACATCCCTTCTGGCTTGTGGTCGGGCACTGTGTGAGCGCTGGTGGGGCTGATTGGGAGCACAGCGACTTTGCAGGCGCTGCGGTTGTGCTCAGGGCCACGGCCCCCAGCCAGGGGGTCCCTGGGGCTGAGGCTGGGGCCATGTCGACGCTGGCCCCCCTGCGCCTGCTGCGCGAGCCCTGGAACGCCAGTGAAGGCAACCAGAGCAACGCCACAGCTGGGGCTGGCGGCGCCTGGTGCCCGGGGCTGGACATCCCCAATGAACTCTTCCTGACACTGGGGCTGGTGAGCCTGGTGGAGAACCTGCTGGTGGTGGCCGCCATCCTCAAGAACAGGAATCTGCACTCTCCCATGTACTACTTCATCTGCTGCCTGGCCGTCTCCGACATGCTGGTGAGCGTCAGCAACCTGGCTGAGACGCTCTTCATGCTGCTGATGGAGCACGGCGTGCTGGTGATCCGCGCCAGCATCGTCCGCCACATGGACAACGTCATCGACATGCTCATCTGCAGCTCCGTCGTGTCCTCCCTCTCCTTCCTGGGGGTCATCGCCGTGGACCGCTACATCACCATCTTCTATGCACTGCGCTACCACAGCATCATGACGCTGCAGCGCGCCGTGGTCACCATGGCCAGCGTCTGGCTGGCCAGCACCGTCTCCAGCACCGTCTTCATCACCTACTACCGCAACAACGCCATCCTGCTCTGCCTCATCGGCTTCTTCCTCTTCATGCTGGTCCTCATGCTGGTGCTCTACATTCACATGTTCGCGCTGGCTCGCCATCACGTGCGCAACATCTCCAGCCAGCAGAAGCAGCCCACCATCTACCGCACCAGCAGTCTGAAGGGAGCCGTCACGCTCACCATCCTGCTGGGAGTCTTCTTCATCTGCTGGGGGCCCTTCTTCTTCCACCTCATCCTCATCGTCACCTGCCCCACCAACCCCTTCTGCACCTGCTTCTTCAGCTATTTCAACCTCTTCCTCATCCTTATCATCTGCAATTCAGTGGTCGATCCCCTGATCTACGCCTTCCGGAGCCAGGAGCTCCGGCGGACGCTGCGGGAGGTGGTGCTGTGCTCCTGGTAAGCGGCGGCACAGACAGGAGGATGGATGGATGGATGGATGGATGGATGGATGGATGGATGGATGGATGGA